CAACATACACTGAATAACACTCTCTGGTTAGCATCAAAACACAAGTTAACATATCCAACCTCGTAAACAACAAAGTTGAAATTTGACGTTAGTTTGCACAATAGTCGTGCAAGAAGACATAGTATCCCTTGAAATCAGCAACAAAAACATATTACAAGAATAACAACAAACATATTACAAGAATAATGGGTCCTCTGTGGATGCATATATACACCCATGATACCATTTTTTAGTGACTATTGGAAGCTCGTCATGAGTAAATGTGAATTGAAGATCCAAGATAAACCTAACAACTTACACATATATGAGAGCAAATGACAGACAATGTATGTCACAACATTTTTTTTATTTTTTTTAATGTATGTCACAACATCATTGCAACCAATCACCACATAACAATAGTTAAATACACCGATCTTCTGCAAGCAAATGAAAATGATACATAATAAATGCAAATACATATGGGGTCTTGTAGGAGACCCACCATACACATTGCATGTCATATACAAGAAGAAATGTAAAAAAGGACTATAACATATACAAAATAAATTTCAACATATGCAATATCATGTAGTCAATATCAATTTGCAAATAAACGCATAAATTTATATGCAAACACATATGAACCGTCGTGGGAGACTTGCTACATATACAACAGACTATCTACGAAATGAATATAAAGAAGAAGTAGTAAGCATAAGCTACCTGTAAGGTAACATAGAAGTTGGTGACGAGTGCAAGTATTTACCTGCACAAAGAAGCACCGCATCTTGACTCCACACCATCAGATCTGCAACATGCATACAAGCAGACACAAGGTGTGTGAAAATTCTCAAATGAAGCCCATAACATTTCCCAATAATAGCTTATTTGTAACCACAAGAAGCAACAAATAAATCACAACGTGATGCCATGCCACCAGATCTGTAATACTCGTAGAAACATGCATAAGGCATCTACAAGCTCTCAAATGGAGCATCACACACATTCAAATGATAGTTTCCCGCACGACTGATCAGTATTAAATATTTTTAAATGCCCATACATGTATATTGCAACATATATACACACAAATATAGAATTGCATGTGCAAGCATATTAATATGTAAATAAAAGTATAAATGTACAAGCAAGTATTAGGCATAAAAAATGGAGTCATAAACAATGTGGGCATAATATGAGAAAAGCATGTGCAATCATATACCTGTATGGGCCTCTGCGAGCATGTTATGAGCATACATGTGACGTCTAGGATGCTATGTGGGTCAATTGATGAATTTAAGTTTGAGCTCGATCCTTCTATGTGAATAGATGGATTCAACACGGATTGAATTATCAAATAAATATACGGTCATGACATCAGCCGAGATATTTATTTTAATACGTTTCTATTAGGCCTTCAAAGTCTATAAGAAGAAAAATTTATTAAATAAAAGTATAAAGTCGACAACGAATCCTATCCTCTATTAGCAATTAGATAGAGTCGACAAGGTTCAACATATAATTACAAAAATGCCCCATAAACACTTGCATTGGTCCTGACGAGCTTGTTGTGTTTATACATATGATGTTTGAGTAGGCTAAACAGGTCAAGAAATGAGCTTAAGTTCAAAGTCCAATCCTTCTCCTTGATAGAATTGAACCAATATATAAATATAAGGTCACGACATCGATCGGGATATTTCATTTTATACGTTCATATAAGCCTTCAAGGCCTATAACAAAAGAAACTCATTATTAAAAGCATACAGCCGACTCAAACTTAATCATCTATCAACAACTAATAGAGTCGACAAAGTTCAATCAATAAAATATAATTGGCCATTAATACACTGATGATGGCTGTGTTGAAGGTAGGGCTCAACCAAAGGGGTTAATTCCAAACATTCAATTACCTCCCAAATGCCCATGAAAATCCAAAATTTCAAAAATCATCCAAGATCAAATATTTAAAATTGAAATAAGTCATCAAATGCTTAAGGCAAAACCTATCCACCCTCCGTAACAATTTGCCAAGGTGGATAAATTTAAATATCTCGTTAGCTCACAAGAAGTTAATGTATGGTCGAGAATTTCACTAGGATTCATTCTTAAACAATCTCTTACCAACAAGGATGTGACACGTGTTTTCTAACCGACGATTTTGCCACCAAATGATATTGTAAGTAAATGGTTATAATCAGGGCCCTCTGAACCGGGTGATTTGCAGCAAAATGACACCACTAAATTATGATAATGGCCAAAGCCCGTATACTCCCCAATGGCACTAAATCCTTGATATATGAATCAATAGGATATGAATGATAGGTTACAAAGCACTCTGTAAGTTAAGGTGGATTTAAATTTGTTTCCTTAGAAAAATATTCACCCCAGGTCTACAAGGTTCCCTTGGACGAATCAACCCATGGATGACGATAATGATCATTTTGTCAAGTTGGGTTGACAACCTCCTCTGACTAAGTAGACTAGGGACCATGATGACCCGGGATGATAGAACTATGAGATCTTGATCGGATCCATCATCCATTTCCCTACCATCCGCTTTAAGTGCAAGATGGAGAAATTTTTAATTTTAAATATCAAATTTTCAAATTCCTAAATTCAAGCTACTACTACACAATATACTATGTATTTCTACGTATCTGATTGACAACTAGCCTTAATCGAAAGTTCTCTCTATATCGGGAAGGGTGATTAACTATAGGGGCTTAATTCCAGACATTCATAGGGTTAATTCCAGACATTCAATTATCTCCCAAATGCCCATGAAAATCCAAAATTTCAAAAATCATCCAACATCAAATATTTAAAATTGAAATAAGTCATCAAATGCTAAAGGCAAAACCTATCCACCCTCCGTAACAGTTTTCCAAGGTGGATAAATTTAAATATCTCTTTAGCTCACAAAAAGTTAATGTATGGTCGAGAATTTCACTAGGATTCATTCTCAAACAATCTCTTACCAGCAAGGATATGACACGTGTCCTCTAACCGGCGATTTTTCCACCAAATAATACTGCTGATAAATGATTATAATCAGAGCCCTCTTAACCAGGTGATTTGCAGCAAAATGACACCACTATATTATAATAATGGCCAAATCCTGTATACTCTCCAATGGCACTAAATCCTTGATATATGAATCAATAGGATATAAACGATAGGTTAAAAAGCACTCTATAAGTTAAGGTGGATTTAAATTTGTCTCCTTAGGCAAATATTCACCCAGGCCTACAAGGTTCCCTTAGACGAAGCAACCCATGAATGTCGACAATGATCATTTTGTCAAGTTGGGTTAACAACCTCCTCTGACTAAGTAGACCAGGGACCATGATGAGCCGGGATGATAGAACTATGAGATTTTGATCGGATCAATCATCAATTCCCCTACCATCGATCTACTTTAAGTGCAAGATGGAAAAATTTCTAATTTTAAATATCAAATTTTCAAATTCCTAAACCCATGCTACTATAATACACAAGATACTACATTTTTCTATGTATCTGATTGACAACTAGCCTTAATTGAAAGTTCTCTCTCTATCTGGAGAGGTGATTAACTATAGGGTCTTGCGCCTATAGGAAACTAGAAATCAAAACATAAAGTCCTCGCAAAATGAGGGCAAAATATGTAGGTGGTGTTTTTTTTCAAACTCAATTTATCATCTGAAAATTTAACTCGAAACTTAAAGCTTTAAAACTCTCCCAAAAGAGAGGAGGCCGGGGCACGAATTCTTGGAGCCCACAATAGACTTATTCTATCCAACCAAAACTCTTTTATTGTTTTTGATATAATTTTCTTTTTTTGGGAAGCTAATCCCATCAGCTCTTGAAATAGTTCTCTTTGAAATAAATCTTTTCCTTATATATATCTTTAAAACGGCTACATTTGATATCCCCAATAGAGATAACCTTTATTTTAATTATATGATTATGGATAGATTCATTCTATTTTGTTATAGAAGTAATCTACTATTCTTCTTCAGAGAAATATTTATGGAGACTAATTATATTATCTCTAATGAAGAAAGTTCTCATTTAAACAGTTTGTTCAGCTGCTGATCTAAAAGTTTTTTTTAGTAATATTTTTCCCAAAAACTTCTTTGAAGATATAATATTATCTATGCCATTAATGGAATCATTTGATTAATACGAATTTTCTTTAGTGATTTATATTTAATAATTTTTAAATACTTCTACAAAGAAAAAAATCAATCATATGCAATTCTTCCTTGGCTCAACCTAACGAACTTTTATTACGTCCTCTGACCGGACGTAGCTCTACGTTCGGTCAGAGGATTGTTACTCTGTTTTTGCTCGGTATTTGATCGGTATTGCTAGGTATTGTTTGGTAATAACGAGGAATACTGCTCTGTGAAGATCAATAACGAGGAATACCGAGCAATACCGAGTAATCCCAAAAAATACCGAGTTTTTCTAGAAAAACTCGGTATTTTTTAACTCGGTATTTTTTGGGATTACTCGGTATTGCTCGGTATTACTCAGTATTTTGTCTTCACATAATGTTATTTCTCGTTATTGTTAGTATTGCTCGGTATTTGCTCGGTATTTCTCGTTTTGTGTCTGCGATTTTAGTGCCGGCCGAACGTAGCTCTACGTACGTTCACCGGACCAAATAAAGGTTCCAACCTAACAACCTCCTTAATAAAGTTCTCTCTAACAAACCAAATAGATAATTAAGGCTTCGTTTGGAACAACTTTCATACTATTTTCTAACAATTTTCTCATACAAAAATATCTTTAACTAAAAAATTTTGTATAAAAAAACTTTTTTAAAAAGCAATAAGACAACTGTCCCAAACAAAATCTAACTATGAAAAATTACAATAAAAGGAAAGCTGGAACCCTAAATCAATATAAATCTAATTAAATATAAACTCAATCTAACAAGAAAAAAAAACTCCCAAATTCCCAATGCATGAGGCTCAAAGCCAATTTTTCCAAAGTAATCACAAGCAATGCAACAAAGAATAAAATCCTAAACTCAAATTAAACCACCAAGATACTGCATTTCCTTATTGTTATAAATACAAGATACATTTTTAGAGCTGGTACAAATTAATGTTCTAAAACACTTCTGATTCATGATTCAAGATATTCTCTGGACAAATTACAAATTACAAAATACAAAAGACACTTAAACCTAATAGGGTTGGATCTTCTCACAATATATGATAACCCAATCCCACCTTGCTCTTATATGCTTCAACCAGAACTATAAGAAGAAAACAAGTAATTAAGAGCACAAAAGATATCTAAAGAGCAGGATTTGTTGGTAAGGATGAAACTGCTGTTGTGAGAGACTGCCCAGTTGGTGGAACAAGACTGGTCCAAAAAACAGGATCTGGAATTGGATCTACAGGATTCCAAGATGTCCTAAGTGGAGCTGTGAGGAGAGGAGACAGAGAGTACTGTGATCTCTGTATTGGCAGTTCACCAAATCCCATTGAAATACCAGAACTATCAAGTTCACTGCTAGCAAAAAAATGTGGAATTGACTTCCCCTGATCTGGTTCTTTACTGGTAGTACTTTCCTGAATTTGTGAAGCTTTTTCCATGAAATTCTTGAAGGCTGCAGATCTGGATAATATGCTGCAGGCAGATGTTCCTCTGACTTGAGACTTCTCTTTTTGTGGGAGGCCAAGAAGAGGAAGCTTATATGGCTCAGTTGCTTGAACAGAGCTCTCCACAGCTCGTAGTTCTCTGCTCACATCTTCATGGCTGGAGACTGACTCAGGCTGGCGTGATTTTTTTGGAGCCCACCACCGTATATGGCTTGTTAGATCTATTTTTCTTTCCATGCCAAAACCACCAGCATACTTGCCTTCTGTGGTCGGATCCCTACTTGTACCTTAAAGGATAAACCAGAGTTAACTCTCAGAAAAGAGTATTATGTGCGCAATTATTTTTGGGGGGATTTACGGCTTCGTTTGGGACGGGTTTTTTCCTGCTTCTTAAAGCAACTTTATAGTTAAAAAATTAATTTTTTTGTACTAAAAAATCGCTTTAAGAAGTAGGATGAAAGCCGCCCCAAACAAAGCCTACATATATACCACTTTCTTTAATACTATTTATATATCTAACACCTAAAATTTTAATATTACATGTCTACCATCTATAGAACAAATATGGATGCATGGAATGAAATATTAAAGTTTATAAGGTGGTATGGATGGTAAGAATGAAATATATGAGTAATATATTTAAGATTAAAATTTTATGAGTGATGAGAATGCAATCTTAAAGTTTTAGATGTTAGATAAGTAAATAGTATGAAATAAAGTGGTATGTATGTAAATCATCTTTTTTTTTTCCTTTTGATAATAACATGGGAGATCACAGAAAATAGGTATTATTTAGACTCACTGCAGTTGTAGTATTCGTTTCCAAGCATTTGGCCAAAAGGTGCCTCCCATCTGGTGCTTTGAGGTTGTCTGAAAATAAAATCGACAGAAGAAAAATTGGAAATTTAACTTTCTGTACAGAAATTCCATGATGAATATCAATAGATATGTAGTTCCATGGTGTTTCCAAAGGAAGTAGCTTGGACATGTAACAAATTTAGGATAGAAGATACAAGGGTAGAATGTATACTAGAGGGGATGGTGGGGAGCATCTATTGAAGATAAGGATTGGAAAGAAAATAAATTAGCCCTAAGATAACAATGTAAAAGAAAGGCAAAAATATGTGTGAAGTAGGAACAAATAGAGGGTGAGATTCATAAATCTAACCCCAAATGGTTGTGATAACGCTAATGATCATGATGATGGCAAAAATAATACAATGGCAAAATCTAGAATGCAATGGCCAAAAACCACTGTTATTATGCTGGATCCTAAGAAACAAATTGGTTCTGCAAAGTGTCATAAGATAACTCAGTCTAGATTTAAGAAAGTCAACTAGATGTTCAACCGCTTATGTAGCAGGTGTGCTTGTAAGCCATAAATTTTATTTCAACTGCAGTTAAATAATCTTCAAAAGCAAGTGAAATATTAACAAAGAAAATAGATCAAGAACTATCACCATCTAACTAGGCAGCAAGCATGCATAGATATATTAACTGACCGCATGCCAATATACTAAACCAAAGTAACATGGTCCCAAGCAATCAAAATTGATGACCAAAATAATGTGTCGGATCCTGTTCAGAACTACGGAATTCAAAAGCATGAACTCTTCATTAAAGCTTTGTTTGGGACGGTTTTTTTTTTTCTTCTTTAAGAAGCTTTTAGTACAAAATTTTTAACTTTTGTACTAGAAAGCAGCTTTAAGAAGCAATAAGAAAGCTGTCCCAAACGAAGCCTAAGTCTCTGTGGACAACGTGTGAAAGGTACAAAAATACATTCTTTATAAAGTATGTGTCCTTTTTCATCAGGAATAAACTGTCTTCTTTATCAAGAAAAAGTGTGTAGGAAATCGCCAGGGCAGATTCCGAGAATCCCAACTGCTCAGTCAACCATTGTTGAACCAACTAGATTAAGATTTACCAGATAACTCATCACACCAAAGACAAGTTTCTCAAACATTTTGTACAGAAAACATCAGCACCAAAAAACTTAACCAGAGTATTGCCTATTGCGTCTTGTCTATATGCCTCCAAAATTTTATTGATGTCCATTATTGGTTCTGATCCATACCTAAGTCGAGGGAAGAAACCTAAACAATACTTCAAACCTGCCCCATATGGGCACAACAATAATAATAACAAACATGGTAGAAGATGTAATGCTAACGTTGATGGTTTAATGGGAAGAAATGCCTCTTAAGTGTTTGTTTTAGTCTTTTAATGATGCAACGCTCGCTTATTTGAACCATGTTCAGGATTGTATATTTTCAGTCTACTTGAATTGAGAAAACCACTGCGCACTAGTTCGTTTGTTGAACCTTAAATTTTTTAATTTCACACTTCTCATACTTTAAACTGACTTTGATGGATGCTTTTCAGTTGAAGATGACATAAAAAGATATTTTTGAAACAAATATTTTATATCTAACATATAAAACAATGTCTTTCACATGTTAAGTCCAGCATTCTCAAGGTATGTTGGTCTCATGACAGTATGAAAAGCAACTAAGCTAAAAAGATTGCAAAGTACATATATGTTACCTATTTTATTAACTACCAGCTATATAACAACACAAAGCACACATGCATCATGCACCAAACTCTTGGGTCACTTCGGGTTGCAACCAGCAAGACGACTTTAATTTTCCATAGCAATAAATTAAGATTAAAAATCGAGACTAAAATAGGTTTTTATTCTAATCACAAATTTGCAACCTTAAGGGTGCTGAATAAAGTCCGGCTTTTATGATATTAAGTATAGCTAGTCATTGACTAAACCGCTATAAGAAACATTTATAGATGGTAATTACAAGCTAGCTCTATCAGCCAATTTCCTAACGGATGGGTTCACACAAATAACCATAAATACCAATGCATATTAACAACCAAAATTGCAGCTATGTGATAATGTAGAATAAACTTCAAAATAATCCCCCAGCTACTCGGGTATGGCCAATTTAGCCCCAGAGTATAGTGTTGTTCTAATTTTGATGAGGACATCGTCAGCAATTTCGACATGTGTGCCATCGGAGACACCGGAGATCGACGGCCACGATCAGGAGTTTTATTTATTTTGTCATGTTATGTAGTAATTTATTTTATTTTAGTTTTTCCAT